GTAATATCTTAATTAGATACGCGTTTTTTTGGTATGAGTGCAGTCTGTCATATATTCAATTTTCTAACACCAACATTTTAATTACATGTCAATGAAGCAACGTACAAAAGTGTGACGAATTCCAAAGAAAATATTCAGATATTCAGGCCCTAGTAAAATATTCAGGCCCTAGTTTTTCCCCACCAATTTATTAATATTTATTATCTAGTTTTACCTCAACTAACTCAAGCATGAACTGTTTACCAATTATTTAAGGAAATAATGAGTAAATATGGAGTGCTTGAATGCGATCTAACGGAAGTATTTACAGCAATGTTATTATGATTTATAATTCCTGTCACTTCTGCAGCAGCTGAAAAGTCTTTTTGCAAATTAAAAATAATAAAAAATTATTTAAGAAATAAGATGAGCTAAACTCGGCTCCGACATTTATCGCTAATAGCAATTGAAAATAAAACCGCAATAAGCCTGGATTTAAACGAAGTCATTGATACTTATGCGAAAACTAAAGGTAGGAAAAAATTGTAAATATAATTGTTATTTAGTCAATTGGTAGGTCCAACCTTTATATAATAAACCCTTGAATCTTCTCTATTTCGTTTAATTAGCCAAACCTACACCAAGTATTAATTGTAATTTATGTTATTACTGTTTAATATTTTTATTACCTGCCCTGCAGTGCACAAAAAAGAACTTAAGTAACTTAGCTTTTTTAAAGTATTTGTATTTTTCATATTTTTATTTGATAAAACCTAATCAGTTTACATAGCAGTGGGGCCCCATTTTTTAATTTGCCCTAGGGCCCTTTGTTACCTAGCTACGCCACTGGATATATAATAGTTTTAATAGCTGTAAATGTTTGGTTTTAGCTAACAGAAAGAGACGATGTAGAATTAGACAAAGAATATCAAGAAAATATTTCTTCTACCTCTCCTCTCAACAAAAAATATGATCCAGTTAATGTTTACTTTACATTAAAACAAGGTAATGAAATTAAATTGTTGATCGAAAGACTTCTAATGGAAAAGCTTGGCATCTTTGCTTTCCTTACAACAAGATTTTTAGATAAGACGTCAAGAAAAAACACTATATCAATAAAAAACACAGTTATGGCTAGCATAAAGTGATTATATATATTATTGTTTTATTGAGCAGCAAATGCTTAGATGATGAGTTAATAAAAATAAACATATACTAGTTTTATTTTATAGGTTTGAAATTTCACCTGCCGCAACTGCAGCAATTGCTACAAGTTATCTACAAAATTTAATTGAAGCAGGATTTCTCACCCCTGAATCCTTTTACTTTGCTTGTGATCCTTCTAAGTTGAAAAGAAGTAGGAAAAAAGTAGGTTTTGAAAAATTTGTATGCGCAGATATTCGCCGATAAATTGTGCGCATACAGTCGCATAAATATGCGCATAACTTTTTTTCGCTTTCAAATCATTTAAAACCGTTAAATTGTTTTGACTAGACAGACGGACAAAAAAACGAGTTTTAATTTTAGTTTCAATGAAATTTTTAATTAATGTGCTTTTGAAACAAAAAAAATGGTCAGTTTTAATAGTGAAATTAAAAGTTAACAACTTTTAATTCCATTATTAAATCTCTTTAATTAATGCACTTTTATAATTAATAACTTTAAGTTATTGTTAGATTAAAGAGATAAGTAAGTAGAACAATAAAAAACTCAAAAGTTTATAGTTTAAGTTGACATTTTTCAACAACCAGAATGAAAATGGAAAAGTTTACAATTTATAGATAGTTTCAAAATCTCTATACAGTAAAGAGAACTGGAACTTGCATTGCCTGCCAAAAGACAGTTTAATGGGCAAAAAATTGCGTCGCAGCACATAAACGAAATGTCCAAACGCTAGTAAAGATGAGAAACGATTGTTTGCAAAACGAAAAGCCAAACCATTAATCAACTTTAACAAAGACACTATAATCTCAGCTGAAACTTATGAAGTAGTCAACAATGTGATGAATCTTAAAGAATTAAAAAAGAAAATTGATACAAAATTAGCAAACTTCTTTTTCCGAACTGGAATATCTCTTTGTCTTGTTAAATCTGAAGCTTTTAAGGATTTGATCAAAGTACTTATCCATTGTATGTATCATCAATACTGTGCGCGAAAATGCTGTCGGGTTACTTCTTGATAAAAAGTATGCAAAATGTTCCTCTAAATTGGAAGAAACTCTTCAATCATCTGAAAATTTAACGCTCCTCAGTGATGGTTGGAAAAATATTATTGGCGATCATATAGTGAATCTTTGTATCAAGGCACCAAATATAAAACCGTTTTTCTATACTTCAATCAACACATCGGGCATATTCAAAACGCTGCAGCTGGTGCTGGTACTGTCATTGAAGTAATTGAGACTCCACAAAATTTTATTAGCATTATTACTGACAACGCTCCAGTAATGAAAGCTGCTTGGAAATTAATTGAAGAAAAGTTTCTACACATCTCGACGCAGCACACGATATGAATCTTCTCGTTAATGATATTTTGACTACAGCTAAAAGTTCAAAGACCATCAAACAAAACTTGGCAATTTAATTTGTTTTTGTATTACAAAAGAAGCTGAAAAAATTATAAAGTTTGTGAAAAATCATCACCTTGTTAAAGCAAAGTTTAGTAAAAAGAGAATTGCAGCTAATATTCATCGCTCACTCACAATGCCTGTTTCGACTCGATGGCTCAGTCATTTTAATTTAATGAACGACCTTTGTCTGGCAAAGTATGCTTTGATTCAACTTGCCGATAAAGAAAATGCATGTTTGAAAGAAATTGCTCTAAAAAAAAATTCGGGCGCTGTTTTGACGCTAATTAAATCAAGTGCTTTCTGGGATAGTTTGGCAAAACTTGTGAAAGATATCGGATATCATTCTAACATTATTGGAAGACTTGAAAATGATGATACTCCACTATCTTTGGTGTACTATTATTTTTGGGAAATGTACAAGAAACTCGCAAATGAGGAAAATATTCAGGAATTGGTTATGAAGCGCTTTAAAGTCCTTATCACCTTAAATATGGGAATTGCCTATATGCTGATACCAAAGTATGGTGCAGAAGGATTCTATTTTGGTGAGGATAAGACTAAAATAATTAGTTTAATTTCAGAATTAGTCTCCAAAACAAATCCATCAATTGCTGAGACTTGCAACTGAGAGTTGCAACTGCAGCAATACTAAAAGATATGTCAACAGATCAAAAACAATCCTACAAGCTATGTTAAGTAGTTAGTATTGGTGTGCTGCCACCTAATCTAAGAGAAGTTCAATGTGGCCCCTTAAGTCATACCAAATGGCTTACAACTGGCATTAGAATAGTCTTTATGTGGACAAGGAAACATGACTTAACTGAGCAGAATTTGAGGATTCTAGAATTACATGTCTTATTCTGTTTACAATTTTACTTTAAACTTTTTTTTGACATAAAAGTAAAAGACAAACTTGAAGAAGCACCTTATCACATTCTTTCTCAATTGAGATTTATCAGAAATCAACCTGGTAGGGTAAAAGAAATTGTGACTCCCTACATCCAGTTTTGGTGCTTGGTATGCAAAACATGAAAGTTTTTTTTATCTCTTTGTTATCCAGTAACAATGCAGAAGATCGCAACTTTGCAGTTGACTATACTTTGAAACAAAGGGGTAAGGATATCTTTAGAGATATGCGAATTCGACCAAGAAAAATACCTAAACTGAACTTTGCAGCAACTGTTCTTCAAGAGCTAGTCGAATCAAAAAATGGAGAAGTACAAGAACCTGTTTTTACTTGTTCGCTTACTAAAGATAAGATAATACTCCTTCTTTCAAAATTCATACCCAAAGTACTGAGCATGCTGTAAAACAAGTGACAGTAACATCTATGTCCGTATTTGGAGCAGATGCAAGAGATGGGTATATTAGAGCTAGAGCACAAAGAAAGAAATTTTAATAAGCTTTTAATGCCAATAGATTTATTGTTTTTTTAATAGTATGTTAATAGTGTTATCAAAACATCATTTGGGTAAGATTTTTTGTTGAAACCGCAACACTAACATTTTCCCTCTTTTTACTTTCTAAAATAAAATAAAAAAGTTTGAAGAATCTTAAAATAAGAAAGTCTTTTTATTAATTAAAATTTTATTTTAGAACTTTTTATTTATCAAAACTTTTTAAGATTTTTTTAATTATTTTTTATTTTCTAAAAGTGCAAATTTGGGTGAAACTTTGTCAGGTCAAAAAAATACTTTAGGAAACTCTATTTAAAATTTAATTTTACATAAAAATACATCTTTTCCTAAGCTTTTAGAGTGAAAAAAAAATTCTTGCTTTACCCTACTATACATCGAGTGTCTCGAGTTACCCGCTATCCGCGGCTTCCCGACTTTACCCTCTACTTAAGATAATATTTATAAAAAAATGTATTTAAAATTGTTAAATAATTTATAATAAAAACTTTTTAAGCTAATATTTACAAAATGAAATCAATCAAATTTAGGTAAAATAAAATAGTAAAATTTTTGTTTCGAATTTTTATTCTTAACATAATATTATAAAACATTTGAGTTGGTAAAAACTAAAGCTCTCCTTTAACCTGAATCAAAAACTTATTTTTAAAACTTCCCCTGTAATCTCACGTTTTTAACTGTAATCATATATTCTAAATTGTAATCTCATACTTTATACATTCCTTCATGTTCTAATCTGTAACCTCATGTATTAAACTTCTCCTCATATTCTAAACTGTAACCTCGTATTTTAAACTTTCCCTCATGTTTTAAACTGTGAACTCATGTTTTAAAATGTAACTTCATTTTTTAAAATGTAACTTCATGTTTATAAATTAAATCAAATTAACAAAACAGAATCAAGTATAAAGTATTATGAAAAACAAAACACATGCTGGTAAAAACAAAAAATAACAAATAAAAATATTTATGCTTGATAAATACTATCGCTTTAGTTTTATGATTATTAATAGTAATAAAATAATAAAAATAAAAATAATAATACAAACTATATTAAATAAATAAAGATTTTACATTTTTAAGGTGAATGTTTCAAGGTGACTAGATACCTTGAAAATGCATATTAAAACAAAAACCAAAATGCTAAACTGCATGTTTGCCGTTTTTCTAAATAGCTTAAACAACAATTGATATTACTTTTTGTTACCATGCTTAATGGATGCTTGATACCTAAAATCTCAGTTTGAACTCTATAAACAAAATAGTAAATTTCTAATGCTTCGTTATATTTTCGCATTTCGCGCAAACAGTTTGCCATATTAATTTTTGTTATAACTGCTGACGGATGGTTGGTACCTAAAATTTCAGTTTTTATTTTATTAACAAAACAATAAACTTTAAAAGCTTTGCTATGTTTTCCCATTTTATTTAAACAGTTAGCCATCTCAGTTTTTGTTCCCATTGTAGATGGATGTTTAATACCAAAAATTTTAGTTCGTATTTTATCAACGAAACAATAAATTTCTAAAGCTTTCTTATATTTTTTCATTTCGCACAAACAGTTGGCGATATTATTTCTTGTTGCCATTGTAGATGGATGGTTAATACCTAAAATTTCAGTTTGCATTTTATCAACAGAATAATAAATTTCTAAAGCTTCGTTGTATTTTTTTATCTTTTGCAAACAGTTTGCCATATTGGTTTTTGTTACCATTGTAGATGGATGGTTCATACCTAAAATTTTAGTATGTGTTTTATCAACGTAACAATAAATTTCTAAAGCTTCGTCGTATTTTCTCATTTTATTTAAACAGTTTGCAATATTATTTTTTGTTCCCATAGTCAAGGAATGATTGATACCTAAAGTTTCCGTTTGTAGTTTATCAACGGAATAAAAAATTTTTAAAGCTTCGTTATATTTTCCCATTTTGTCTAAACAGATTGCGATATTATTTTTTGTTCCAATTGTAGATGGATGGTTGTTACCTAAAATTTCAGTTTGTAGTTTGTCAACAGAACAATAAATTTCTAGCGCTTCATTATACTTTCCCATTTCTTCCAAACAGAGTGCAATACTATGTTTTGTTGCAATTGTATATGGATGCTTAAAACCTAAAGTTTTAGTTTGTATTTTATCAACAAAATAAAAAATTTCTAAAGCTTCGTTAAATTTTCCAAGTTCATCCAAACAGCTTGCAATATCTTTTTTTGTTGCTATTGTAGATCGATGCTCTGTACCAAAAATTTCAGTTTTTATTTTATCAACAGAATAAAATATTTCTAAAGCTTCATTAAGTTTTCCCATTTTGATCAAACAGATTGCAATACTATGTTTTGTTTCAATTGTAATTGAATGGTTGATACCAAAAATTTCAGTTTGTAGTTTATCAATGTAAGAATAAATTTGTAAAGCTTCGTTAAATTTCCCCATTTCGCACAAGCAGACTGCAATATTATTTTTTGTTATTAATGTCGATGAATGGTTGATACCTAAACCTTCAGTTGCTACTTCATCAATAGAGTAGAAAGTTTCTAAAGCTTCTCTGCTTTTTCCCATTCCGAGCAAACAACATGCAATATTATATTTTGTTTCAAGTGTGAGTTTATTATTTTCTCCATAGGTTTCTACATTAAAACTTTGAATGGCTTTTAAGATTTCGATGGCTTCTTGAAATAAACCTTTACATTCTAATAAATCTTTTATTAGAGTGGTTTTATGATGGAATGTTTTTAAAATACTTTTTCGGTTAATACGAAACAAGGAAAGAAAATGAAAAACAAAATTATTTCTGTAGTCTACGTGATCTTTCAATTCGTTCAACTCAAAATTGAAGTAGTCTTCCATTAAAACAAGGTACGCATTTGTACTTGAATTTTTATTTTGAAAACATCTAACCGACAACTGTGTCAGATCGTGCATTAGAAACTTTTCATCATCCAAACGATCTAATAAGGAATAACTCATTAGTAAACCAATGGCTTCATCTACTAAGTATTCATCATTTATTGTCATGTGTTTTGAGATTTGGATTATAAATTGTTTACTGATGTTTTGACCATCGCAATATGATAAACAGTTTAATATTTTAAATGGAATATTTTTAGTTTTTTCTAATTTTAATAACACTAAATTAATTACTTTTATTGCAGACTTTGATTCTTCTTCAGTCGGAAAGTTATGATCGTCTAGTATTTCTATTGGTCTCGATCTATATTGGTTTATATATTTTTCTATTGAAATTTTATGTATCTTTATATATTTTATTCCTTGAGTAATAGCGAAAGGATGATTACTAAGCTCTTTAATTAGGTTTCTGATATTTTCGTTGGTTTCTTTTATATTATTTTTAACATAAGCAAAAGCATCTTCAGCAGAAAAAACATCAATGAACATTTGATTTACGTTATTTGACCACGTTCTCCATTGAGAGGTAACTAAAGTAAATGAATTCGGTTTCTTTGAAATGTACATTTCTAAATTTCGAACACTTTCATCGTCAACATTGTCAAAAATATACAAAGTCTTTTCATTTTTATAATAGTTATGAACTTTTTCAATTATTACTTTTATATCAAAAGAATTGCCTTGTGAACCTTGTGCAAAAAATCCTAATAATTTATAAAGGTTATTCATTGAAGACTGTAGTTTTCCAAATGCTGCATCTATCCAAACAAAATTTTCATAAAAGGCATGATAAACTTCACAGTACTTTCTGGCAATTTGTGTTTTCCCGACACCAGACATTCCATACAATACTAAAGTTGATTTTTTTGTACCATTTAAATTGGTAAAACATTGATGAATTTTAGAAAGTTCCTGTTCACGTATAAATAAGTTTTCTGAAGAAGGTTGGATGCCAAATATTGAACGTACTGTTAGCACTATAATGAGAATTCATTTTATAATAATAACTAAAAAAAAGTTACTAATTAATAAGGAGGGAGGGGGTGGGGGTTTTAGCCAGCTTTGTCCAAGATTTAGTGACGTCGTGTTATTGTACAAAGAAAACAAAATTCAGGTACAAAGTAAACGAAATACAGGAACACAGTTAAGAGATTTAGGTACCAAGTAATAAAAAAACAGTAAGGTTTGTGTACAAAGAAAACAAAACAGTAAGTTTATATACAAAGTAAACAAATTTACAAAATAAAATTTTTAAAACATGATTAACAGACGAAGTTCAACTGAATAAAATTCCTTTTATGAAAATTTTTTATGCTCATAATCAAAATTAATTATCTCTGAACGGGGGAATAAGAACCGCTCTGCTGGTAGTTATCACTTTACTTTCTGGTAATTTCTGCTAAATTTTTTCTGAATGATTCTGAATGATTAGGAGATGTTTGACTTTTTTTTTACATTAATAAAGATTAGATTAGAACTACTATTAGTTTAACAGTTAACAGTATTGATACTTGGGCCAGCAATGTTAACGTTGTTGGTCTCAAATGTATTTATAATACTGCTAAATGTATCTATATTATTTGCATTTATACTTTAATAATTGTTAATAGCATAAAAGGATACTACCCATGAACATATGCCTGGAACATTATTTACTTTATGTTGCTTTGGTTTTATGCTGCTTTCAATTTATAGAACCATTTGAGTGATTTGGTTTTATATCATCTGAGTGATCATCTAGTGATGATTACTCTGATGGTTTACATTTACTTGATAATTTAAAAATAACTTGCTAACTAAATCAGTAGTTGAATCTAAACCTATATTACGTCTAACGAATTAACATCTTTTTGCTTAAACTCTCTTTTTCTAAGCTGATATGAATCAATTAAAATGATATGAACCCATTGAAATGATATGAACCCATTGGAATAACATGAACTCAAGGGAATGATATGATTTCATTGGGAATCCAAACTCAGATGATTTTGTTGTGTCTTTAACACTTTTTTTTTGTTGATGCAAAAAATGATTACCATACTTCTTAGGATAAGCGTGGTAAATCTTATTCTGTAATAATGATCTAGATACTTTGTACTTTAAAGCTGCATGTCTTTGAGTTAAGAAACCATTTTTTAAGTCTTTTATTACATTGTCTAACTGTTCTTTAACACAATTTATATTTATTTATATTTTCTGCTTTCTTTAGACATAAAATATTTTTTACAAGAAATTTATATTTTTATTATTACAACATGTAACTTAATACAAAATCTTTATTTTTATCTTTACAACACGTAAACTACCTACACTGGCCATCAACATCAACAAATTCAAGATTGATAAAAATATCAACTGCTTCCGTATTCTTTAATAATTTTGTTGGTACATTACAAATTTATTGGTAATGTACCAACAAAATTATTGACATTGGCAAAATTAGCGACATTGGTAAGGAAGGAGGCGTAAACTTCTACTTAAATGCTCTCCTTTGATGTTTCGTGATAAGACCGTAAGGGCTTGTGGGAGCACCTAAAAAACGTAAAAAAAAAAAAGAAAAAAAGACTTTCAAATTACTTTCAAATCGACCATAATAAAAAAACGTCAATGTCTGAGTAAATAACTGATAGCATAACTATATCATTTCCGTATATTTCTGATTTTTAATTAAAACAATTTTTTATTATTATATATTAGGTACTCTATTAAACTAAGTTTATAAAACTATGAACTTGTTTCGATTAATTACAATCGAAAATGAGAATAATTGTGAGTAGTAAGAAAATGAGAGATCTAACTTATTTTTATTTTTAACCAAATTTTCAACCATAAATTAATATTAATATTGGGTTAACATTGAGCCATATTGTGTATAAATTATTTCAACAAGAAATAATTTTTTATTTTAAAAAATTGATTTTTTAAAATAAGTGTTAAATTTTATTTCTTGTTATGAAATATTATGAAAAATTCTTAAAATGACGTGACTTTTCTTAATAATAAATTTGATCTGGTGTTTTTAACTTTTCTTCTTCTAATCTTTCCTTCTCTAACTTTTCCCATTGTAATTTATTTTTATTTTTAAAATAACGAGCTAAACTTATTCTTCTTTTATAACCCATAAATTTATTAACTTCATCTTTACTTGTACATTCCATTTTTTTAATTTATGTAAAGAATTTAAATTTTCAATTTTTTCTTCTTGCTTTTTATTTATATCCTTTTTCATGTAAATACTTTACAACTTCAAGATGACTATTTTCTCGTCCCATAAAATTGGAAAAAACAATTTCAATTAAATTTTCTCGTCTCATTAAATTGGAAAAAGCATATTCAATTAAATTTTTAGGTCCTCTTAAATTTAAATCTTCAATAAAATATTTAAGAATATATAAATGTCCTATTTTTACAGCATTAATAAAAGCATCATCATTAACCTTATAATTTTGTGATATTAAATATTTAATAACATTTAAATGTCCATACATCGCAGCATAATTAATTAAATCATCAGGACCTCTTAACTTTAATGAATGGAAATATTCAAGGATATGTAAATGTTTATTAATTGCAACATACATAAAAGCAAGATCATTTTCTTTATACCCTTTTTCATATAAATACTTTACAATTTCAAGGTGACCATTTTCTGCAGCACAATTAATTGCCCATTCAGAACCTTTATACCCTAATTCATGTAAATACTTTACAACTTCAAGATGACCATTTTCAGCAGCATAATTAATTGCATTTTTTGTTCCTATATATCCTTTATAATGTAATAATTTAATTAAATTAAGGCGATCATATTTAGCAGCAAAGTTAACCTTATTACTTTTTTTATACCCATAGTTTTTTAATATTGCATTAATATAATATATTTTAGTTGAAGGATTAATTATTTCGTTTTGAATTTTATTTTCCATTCTTTTTTATATACACAAGAAAATTATTTAACTCATTTTTCAATTTTTTATTTTTTGTAAAAAATAAAAAAAATATTTAATTCTGTAGTCTAATTATCAAATACAACTTCATCTTCGTCATCTTCATTATCATATTCAGTAGTTTCTGTAATTTCAGTAGTTACTGTAGTAACTTCTTCAACTTTATCATCTTCTTCATCTTCATTATCTTCATTATCTTCATCATCTTCTTCATCATCTTCATCTTCATTATCTTCATTATCTTCATCATCTTCTTCAGTCATTTCAATATCATTATCGTATTCAGTAGTTTCTGTAATTTCAGTAACTTCAGTAGTAGTAATTGTAGTAACTTCAGAATCATCAGTCATTTCAATATCATGAATATTAATAATATTTAATTTTTCTTCTATTAATCTTAATCTTTGTTCAATTGATCTTAAAAATGAATTTTGCATTTCGTTTTCCATTCTTTTTATATATAAAAGAAAATTATTTAACTCATTTTAAATTTTTTGATTTAAAGTATTTTTTACAAATAATAAAAGAAAAATGTATGATGATGAAATTAATGAAATATCTGAATTTCAAAAAGAATTTAAACTTTTTGAAGAAATATTAAAATTTGAATTTGAAGAATCAGATTCTGAAGATGACACTTATTATACATCTGATGAAGCTACTTATTATACATCAGATGAAGAAGAAGTTAAAGAAAAACCTATAGTTCCAATTCCTTTAAAAACAGTTCAAATCATGGAACTGCATAAAGATAAGCTGAAATGGATTAATTATGTTCCAACTTATAATGTTATTAATGATGATTTTCCTGCTATAGATAGTTTCTTAACAAAAAAACATAATAAAAACAGAAAATTTAGTTTTGAAAAACCATTTAATGTAGATATTAATTTTACTGAAGATGGAAAACCTTCAACAATACATTTTGTAGAGAAACTACCCATTTTCTGTAAAAATATTTTAAAAGATAATTATTGTCATTTTGAACATAGATGTAAATACAATCATGATATTCCTTATTGTAATACTGTAAAGGAAAGACTGATATGCACTAAATCTTCATGTCAATATAGACATTTATCTCTATGTTCTGAATACCCTAAATGTAAGAATAAAAAGTGTAGATTGTTTCATCCCAAAAAGTCAGAATTATTTAAATTAAGAAAAGCAAAGACTAAATTATGTAAATATATTCTTGATAAAAAAGAATGTAAAAATATAAATTGCAAATATGCTCATTCTTTTAAAGAAATTGAAGAAAATGTAGAAATTTGTCATTATACTCCATGTAAATTAGTAGAGAGTAAATTAAAGAAAAATAAAAAAGGAGAAAAAACATTAATATATAAAAATAATGATAATAAAAAGTGTAATTTTTTACATCAAGGTGAAAGCATTTTAAATTATATTGCAAGAACTTTAAAAACAAAATAGATATGAGGATTACAGAGTGATTTAAAAAAAATCTTTACATTTATAAAATGTATAATAGTAGAATGTTTTTATATTATGAAAAGAATGAACAATATAGAATAAATTTTTATATTAATTCAGATTTAGAACATAGAGCAATAAATGATAGGCATATTAAAATATTCGCACAAGAAGATTTTACAGTAAAATCAAATTCATATAATAACATTTCTTTAATGTGTGGTGTTGAAATAGATAAAGGACATATAGTGATTTCAATTGCAGAAAATTATAAACCAGAACTAAATTTACTAAATTCTATTGTAACAGAGTCTACTGACGATATTAAAATAACTGTATATAATAACGATAAAAAAGATATAAACATTAAAAAAGGAGATTTGTTATGTTGTATATCAACTTATAATGGTATTTTAAATGTAAATTATATATCACATAGAGATGCTTTAGAACATGCAAAAGAAGAACAAATTAGGCAACAAAATGACTCAGGAACTAAACAGAAAAGTGATAAAGAATCTGTAAAATCTTTATTATCAAGTATAGAAGAAGTAATTAAAGATAAATCTGATGAAGATATATTTAATTTTGGTAAA